CTCACACTCAATACACTCACTCACTCACACTCAATACACTCACTCACTCACACTCAATACACTCACTCACCATACACACTCACTCACACTCACTCACACACTCACTCACACTCAATACACTCACACACTCACCATACACACTCACTCACACTCACTCACACACTCACTCACACTCAATACACTCACACACTCACTCACACACTCACTCACACTCACTCACACTCACTCACACACTCACTCACACTCAATACACTCTCACACTCACACACTCACCATACACACTCACTCACACTCACACACACACACACACACTCACTCACACTCACACTCAATACACTCACTCACCATACACACTCACTCACACACTCACTCATTCACACATTCACTCATTCACACACACACTCACTCACACACACTCACCATACACACTCACTCACACTCACACACTCACTCACACTCACACACTCACCATACACACTCACTCACACACACACTCACCATACACACTCACTCACACTCACACACTCACCATACACACTCACTCACACTCAATACACTCACTCACCATACACACTCACTCACACTCACACTCAATACACACTCACCATACACACTCACTCACACACTCACTCATTCACACATTCACTCATTCACACACACACTCACTCACACACTCACACACACACTCACCATACACACTCACTCACACTCACTCATTCACACTCACACACACTCACTCACACTCACACACTCACCATACACACTCACTCACACTCACACACTCACTCATTCACACTCACACACTCACCATACACACTCACTCACACTCACCATACACACTCACTCACACACACTCACTCATTCACACTCACACACTCACCATACACACTCACTCACACACCATACACACTCACTCACACTCACACACTCACCATACACACTCACTCACACTCAATATACTCACACACTCACCATACACACTCACTCACACTCAATACACTCACTTACTCACACTCAATACACTCACACACTCACCATACACACTCACTCACACTCACTCACACTCACCATACACACTCACTCACACTCACACACTCACCATACACACACACTACACACTCACACTTGCAGAGATCTGTTATGCTCACTCTGTTTTGATGTTTGCTGTGGTTCCTTCCTCTGCAGTGCTCTTCTCCCCATCACCAGCTTTCTGTTTTCTCAATTGTGGGAGTTATTTTTTTTTCTTTTTTCTCCCTCTCTCTCCCTCTCGTAAAGGTTCACCTCCATCAAAAAGCTCAGCTGTCTTGGCCACTAGTCAGTCTGTCAGTCTGTCTGTCTATCTACTTGGGGCCGAGTTACTCAGGAAAGTCACTGCCACTGGGAGGCAAGTGAACCCAGGCCTCCAGTTTATATCTCAGTCCTCCCTCCCACCCACTCACTGACTAAAGTGCAGCCCTATGTAGTTTGGTTTACACCAAATATCACTGTGATTTGCCACCACAGTCCTCCTATTTATTGTAATGGGATGTTATTGTGGAGGGACGAGTGACAGGGAATTCATGTGGCCTCAAATGGAGGCAGACACGTTTTTTAACTGTCAAATATGTACTATATATATATATATATATACACATTCATATATCTAAATTCAAGTTGTTGTTGTAAGTGCCAATCCAAACTTTAAAGTTCTGAGTTAGAAGGTGATTAATGCAAGCAATTGAAATAAATCAAAGTGGTTTTGATAGGAAACTGAATGGGACTCGGGCGAATGTACGACTTAGACGATTAAACAATGTCTAAAAATAAGATTTATGCAAGTTTTACTGTGTAAAATAACAACAACTTGCATTTATGTTAGAGCCCTTCATGCCGGATAGCATCTCGGAGTGCTTAACAGTGACGGAGCCTGATGCCGAGCCAGGGGGAGGGGGAGTGGGGAGGTGACTGTTGGCACGGTCAAAGAGGTAGGTCTTCAATCGTGACCTGAAAATGGGAATAGAGGGGGCAAGGCGAAGGGATTGAGGGAGCAAGTTCCACAGAACAGCCTCCAATGTGGGGTGGAGGGTCCGGGGAACAAGAAGGAGGCTAGAGCCAGTCGAGTGGAGGCAGCAGGTAGTAGTGTGGGGAGAGAGCAGGTTGGAGAGTGTCAGGGTGTGAAGGGATTTAAATGCAAGAATGAGGATCTTGAAATCGATCCACTCTGTGACAGGGAGCCAATGGAGTTTGACAAGGACTGGGGTAATGGAGGTACGGAGTTTAGTTCGGGTGAGAATGCGGGTGGCAAGAGTTTTGAAATTAGTTGTGAATTTTGTGAATTGTGGAGCAGGAGACACCACAAAGGAGGGAGTTTGAGTAGTAGACAATGAGTAGCAATCAACAATGAATTGTCTATTTAATAACTTAAAAGCATACTTAAAGATGTCCATCGAATGTAGGTAGTTGGATAGTGAGGATTGAACTGGGTGCTTGGGATGTTGAAGCCAAGGTGGATGACATCTGTCTAGTCAATATTAAAATGCTAGTGCTCATTCAGGCCTTGATGTCTTTGACAGGCAGGTGGACAGAACATCTTTAGACCTGCCACAAGCGTAATGTGGTTAAAGGGGCCTCTGAATATAATTTTCGCCTACAAAACGCACAGTTCCACCACTTTACAGGACGTCCTGCGAAGCGCTTTGAGAGACATCTCGATGACGCAGTAAGGTGCTATATCAAATGCAAGGATTATTAACTTGTCAATTTAAATAGATGTGCTGAGTCAGCACATTAATCTACAATAGATTGAACTGCCAAGAAGAGCCTGATAATGATCATTATTAGGCTCAAACAGGTGGCTCTTCTTATTCAGTCAGGAGATATCAGAAAAGTCTTGTGCCCTTTGTTTGGATGTGTTTCTTATGGAAATTGTAGGAATGCGGATGAAAGACCTTGGACGGGTTGTTATCTTGAGTTGTACAACACAATCTCTAACTTTCTGTTCTAAAATATAGCCCGAGATCCACATCTGGATAACCTTATGTGAGAAAAGCAAAGTCTGTTGGTTCATGTAGTGTGGGGTCACACCTCAGTGTATTTTCAAACTCTCAATGCAACAGCCTCAATGGTCTTACAGGCTAAGACGAGGGGGAATTTCCGGACACCCAAAATTAGAAATGGAGTAAATTTTTTTTAATTTCGGAAGATGTAAGGCGATGTTACTCTTCATTTTATTTAGTATTTTATTAAGTTAATACTTTATGGAGCATCTTTCTTTCCAAACAGCTCTCATTCTACATTATTGAATGAAATGTAGGTACATTATTGAATGAAATGCAAGTGTGTCTTTTTAAATTATAGTAGCAGCTTCTCTACTTAGGTAAATGCCCAATGTAACGTTGGACCATATTGACCACGCAGCCGCAAGTTTGCATCCTGATCTTTGCTGAGACAGCTGATCTGAGATGGCAATGTTACTATTAGCTTCAGTCCCTTTGCATCAGAGGAGAAAATAAGACCGGGTTTACGCTCCTGATAACAACAACAACTTGCATTTATAAAGTGCCCCTCATGCAGGGAGCGCTTCGACTATCCACTGACCCCTGCTGGAAAGTGATTAAATGCGGACATTGTACAAGCAAAGAATTGTGCTTGGCTGTGAATCCTCCACACTCATTGCTTGGGCTTTGATAAAGAATTGTGACTTGGCTTGTGGAACTGTAACTCAGCAACCTGTGGTACTATATGTTCAGGAAAATTGGAGGGGAGAAAATAGGCAAAAATAAAATCCAAATGATTTCCAAAGTCTAGATGTCCAATATCCAATCATACATGGAATTTCAGACAATAGTAGTAGGAAATTGCACAAAGTCATTTCTGAAGTAAATGATAGCAATTTTGTTTTTCAGCAAAGTTCTGATGGTTACAGAATTGAATCGGATACATTTGGTGATCTGAAGGTGCCAAATGACAAATACTATGGAGCCCAGACTGTCCGATCGATGATGAACTTCAAAATCGGAGGAATATCAGAGAGGATGCCTGTAAGTAATCCATAATGTTTTATTTCAACCTTGTGCTATTTCCTAATATCACGAGATGTCATTCAATGTGCACTTTGCAGCAATGAAAAACATGAAACCTTGCTAGTTTGTGCACGCTAGAGTTCAGGTCGATTGTAATATCTCTGCTGCTTCTCCAACCAAAATCAGCCAAAATGTACATTGGAGAGTCGCAGAAGTTGTTTGGTTTATTTTCAGTCCATGTGTTGGCTTGACTTAAAATTAGTAATTCTCTTCCATGGGGAAACTGGTTGCTGCGTTCAGTTACAAATACACAGCCATTACACTTGACAGTAAAATCCTGTGAAGCGTGATGAGATGTTTTGATGACTTGATAAAGTGTTATATCAGATGCAAGTATTATAATACCATTGGGTAGTTGTTAACAATCCTTTTATCGCAGTGTGATCATCATACATTTTTTTAATAGAGCATTTTATGTAATGAATGTGACTGCTATAACCTCATGAAATGTGCACAGTATTTGGTAAAATTAGATCGAGTGATGCCATGATACAAGTGGAGGAATATGAATGTAGCAGAGAAACACTGTAAAAAAAAATTCTTCATTGCAACAGCTTTGCTTGGAACTGATGTCATCCTTCTACCCAGAATTTGTAACAGTGCTTCTTAAATATTAAACAATAGTTCACACAAACAAGAAGACATAATGTCTTTTGGAGTAAGTGAGAAAAAAAACAATTTCTCAATGTGTTTATTGGCAGAAAAGCAAACAGATACCTCGACTGATGGGAACCAGTTAAAGGTTTGCTTTATTTCGAAACGAACAAACAGTGTGAGGACAGATGAGGATATGATGAAAGGAACAAACCACATCAAAGTTAAATATCTATGTTTGTGCAAAAGATTATGCGTATCAAATCAGTATAGTCATGCCATAGTAAAATATTTTGCCCGACTGTTTACTCTTTAGACACAGTATCAAATGTTTATGACTGATTGCAACATAATTGTGCGTGGAGAAAGGGAAAAAAGCCTTTGGACTCTGCTTCCTCCCTGACAGTCTGCCCACCTCTGCAAATAACAATAACATTCCTTGATCATCTGGATGATATTGAATGATCACAAGAGGCAAATTAGTACAGAGATTCCTACTGCTCTGGGAGGGGATGGAGGATGTTATTCAACTTGCAGTGGTTTGGTGGTGAAATATTTCTAAATAATAATCCTTGCATTTGATGTAGCGCTTTTCATGTCTTCTCGACGTCTCAAAGCGCTTCACAGAGTATGCTGTAAAGTGAATTGACTGTATATTTGTGGGTAAAACGCGACAGCCAATAGCGCACAGCAGTGTCCCACAAACAGACACGGATTGAAAATGACCAATTTATTATTGTTTTGTTTTTGGAGGGATTATTATCAGGCGTGTGGAGTAAGGAAACTTGCCCAAAGTTTCGCCCTGACTGGAATTGAACCCAGGTGTCTCGCTTGCAAGGCGAGTGCTCTAACCACTCAGCTACATAAATGATATTGCTGTACATTGAGGTGAACATAAAAATCAAACCATTCACATAAAGCGGTGTGAGGGAGTTGCTTCCCAGTAATCGCTGGGAGATTTCATTATCTGTAAGCCCAGTGCTGCTGTAAATGATGCAAGTGCAGTTGTTTCAAAGTTATTATGCAGAGGGTTTGTTTAATTGTATTCACAGAACCTGATGCAGTACAACTGGGTATTATAACGCAAGTAGGTATTGAGAAAATGTTTTAAATGAGAGATTTGCTGAAGTGATCTGTAAACTTGCCTTATATTGCAACGAGAATGAAAATGTTTGTTGTTGCTTCACCTTTGACTTTTTGTTGACAGATCCAAGTGATCAGAGCCTTTGCCATCCTGAAGCAGGCAGCTGCAGAAGTGAATAAGGATTACGGTTTGGATCCAAAGATTGCTGATGGTATTATCAAGGCAGCAGGCGAGGTAGGAAGGAAGTGTGCAAGATGTTTTCCAGGTGGATCTTGTACAAACTGGTACAGACTTCCTGTCGACATTTATTAGAGGAGAGCTACTGGCACCACCTCCTAACTGGTGGTTGCATTGATGCTGCTCTGTAATTTTATTAGATTATGGCAGATCTTTACCTTTTTAAATTCCCTTTCCTATTTTTTCTCGGTTTCCCTTAATACCCTTTCTTTCCCAACTAACTTATAATAATAATAATAATAATAATCCTTGCATTTGATATAGCGCTTTTCACGTCGGGAGGACGTCCCAAAGCGCTTCACAGAACACACTGTAAAGTGAATTGACTATATATTTGTGGGCGAACGCGGCAGCCAATTGCGCACAGCAATGTCCCACAAACAGTCGTAGATTGAAAATGACCAATTTATTATTGTTTTTGGTTTTGGAGGGATTATTATTAGGTGTGTGGAGTAAGGAAACTTGCCCAAGGTTTCACCCTCTGCCTGGAATTGAACTCAGGTCTCTCGTTTGCAAAGCGAGTGCTCTAACCACTGAGCTACAGGACTCTACAACTTATCTTCTTTTGAACTGAAAGTACATTACCCTTTCTTACAACTCTGCCAAGAAATGTTTCTGGATCTTCTTTTTACTGACTTAGCTATAAAGTTAAGATTCTGGTTTCCATTACTAGATAGTTATCCAGTTCCCAATCTTCTTTGTTAATTCTCTTAAAAAATTCTCAAAAAACTAAATGTAAAATAAACATCTATCTGTACAAAATGTTTTTTAAAAAAATAAAAATCCCAGATGTAACTTATTTCACATACGGTTATACAGTGCCACCCAGTGTCAACAAGTAGACATTACTCTCATAAGCATGAGATCAAACTCTCCCATCAAAAACTATTAGCAACTAAACATATGTTGGGATATACCGATCCCGAGGATCCGAAATAATAACTCAACAATCCTTAATAAAGGTATAATGGTTTATTGGTTCACAAAAATTTTATGAGTCTATAGCAAAAGAGGTAAATAGTCATACTACCAGTTCTATGTAGTCTGTAGGCTGATTTCCGTCTTTCATGTTGGCTTCTCAGGCTTAAGCTTTTGCAATACTCATGTTCTCTCTTTCTCTCTCTGCTTCCACATCTCTCTTAGTCTCTCTCTCCCTGCTTCTACCCCTCTCTGTTCGGTGGCACCCAAATTATACTAAATTCCCCTCTAACCTTTGCTCCGGCCAGATAAGATTATGGTCTCCAGAATTTTGTTCTTCCTTTGTCCTGTCTAACCTGATCAACGATGTTCTCTTTTGGCCATCTGGAATTGAGACAGGCTTCAACTTAACTCAGTACTGTCTTTGAGAATGTAACTAGTCTACAAGAAAAAGCTTTCAGACACATATTCCATTGTCCTGGTACCAGGCTCAGGGTCTCCCCCTATCTCCAGGTGGCCCTTACCTCATACTCCAGGACTAGAGGCCGTGCCTGCTTCTCCCAGCGCTTGGACCCGACAGGCTCAGCGTCCTTCTAACGTTTTTAAACTAATATTTTATAATTGCTATAAGGTGTTATAATTTCTACATATTCTAGTCAATCTAACACATATGACTTAAGTGACTCGGAAACCAGTTACGTTATAACTATTTATTGTGCTTTCTTGTTTCTCTAATGCTAGTGATTTTTTTTCCCTTTGTTTTAGCAAATACAGTATGTTCATCGCAAGGATAACGTACATCTCTCAAGGCGTCCTGCGCGTTTAGTTATCTTTTCTCTTCCCACCCACTTTGGCTTCCACCCCAGCTTGGGTGCCCAGCCAGCAATGCTCAAATCTAAGCACTTTGAAACATCCTTCTGACATGAAAAGTGCTATGCAAATTGTATTATCTACAAATCCCTTCACTCCCTGGCACCACCCAATCTGCTTATTACCCAATTCACCACCTGGCTCGCTCCAGCCTTCTGCTTGTCCCTCTTCTCCACTCCACCATTGATGGCCATGCTTTCAGCCACTATGCCATGAAAACTAGTCCAGTCATTCCCTCTGCCTTGCTCTCTCCTTCCCTATTTTCAGATCACCTTCCTCTTCCCCTCCACCCAGCTCAGCAGCAGGCTCCACTACTGATAAGTGCTCCCAAGACGCTGCCTCAGTGAAGGGGGCTATATAAATGCAAGTTGTTGTTGCTGTTATTGCATTCTTAACAGAACAGAAGAAAAGTAATCTTTGCTGTGCTCATGTCACACAGGTGATTGCTGGGAAACTGGATGACCACTTTCCTCTGGTGGTATGGCAGACAGGCTCTGGAACCCAAACTAACATGAATGTGAATGAAGTGATCAGCAACAGGGCCATTCAAATTCTTGGAGGTAAACTGGGGAGCAAAGATCCTGTGCACCCAAATGATCACGTAAATAAAAGCCAGGTAGGGAACTGAATTTTACATTGCTTTCTTTATAATTTTAAGTCATTTTCCTTCACAATTTGAAGGAAGAGCAATAGAGATATTATCTCTGGGACTGTTCTGTCATTTCATAACCCATTTATAATAATATGAAGGTTCTTGCATATGGTATAGCGCCTTACCACATCGTCGACTCATCTCAAAGCACTTCATAGGATTTACCCTGAAGTGTAGTGAGTGCGTACTTGTAAGCGAATGTAGAAACCAATTTGCATACCATAAACAACAACAATAAAATTACACTTGTATAGCTCCTTTCACGTCGGGAGGACGTCCCAAGGTGCTGGACAGATAGAGTTGCAGACCCGAGCTGGGGGTCATGGTGGGGGAGTGTGGAGGGCAGGGGGGGAAGCAGAGAGATCGAAAGCACGGTCGAAGGGAAGGGTCTTGAGGTGGGTCTTGAAGGTGGCGAGGGAGGGGGAGAGACGGAGGGACTGCGGGATGGAATTCCAGAGGGTGGGTGAAGAATGGCGGAAGGCCTGCCCGCCAATAGTGGGGTGAGCAAGGCAGGGGATGTGAAGCAGGCCAGAGCCCGCTGAGCGGAGGGAGCGAACAGAATGGTAAGGGGTTAGGAGGTCAGAGAGGTGTGGGGAGCAAGACCTTTGAAGGTGAGGACCAGAATCTTGAACTGTATCCTCTGTGTGATGGGAAGCCAGGGGAGTCGGGCAAGGATGGGGGTGATAGGGTCGCGGAGCCTATTGCGGGAGAGAACATGGACTGCAGAGTTCTGGATGATCTGCAGCCTGTGGAGGGAGAAGTTGGGGAGGCCGACAAGCAGTGAGTTTGGAAAGTCGAGCCTTGATATAATGAAGGCATGTATGAGGGTTTCGGCAGCCTGTGGTGTGAGACAGTGTCGGAGCCGGGTGACGTTGTGGAGGAGGGGGAAGGCAGAGTGGGTCATGGCGCAGATGTCGGGTAGAAAGGATAGTTGAGGGTCAAAAAAGAGCCCAAGGTTTTGCATATAAAAGGATATTAACAACAACAAAATTACATTTGTGTAGCACCCTTCACGTTGGAAGCACGTCCCAAGACGCTGGACAACCAGTGTTTCGGACACGAGCTGGCGGTCAGGATCGGAGAGGATGTAGGTCGGGGGAAGGAGGGTGATTGAAGGCACGGTTGAAGGGGAGGGTTTTGAAACGGGTCTTGAATGGCAAGGGAGTGGTGAGGCAGAGGGACTGCGGGATGGAGTTCCAGAGGGGGGGAGGGGGTAGTAGACGGAAGGGCAGAGGCGGCTGAGCGGATCCCCTCCACTTTGATTTCGAGGAAGTCCAGCATCTCCTCGCGGTTGGCGTTGGAGGTTAGGATAGGTGAGGCGTGAGAAGGTGGGCGGAGGAGCCAGTTGGTGATGGAGAAGAGGAATCTGGGGTTGTTCTTGGCCTCTAAGATTGTCTTGGAGGAGAAGGATGATTTAGCAGATGATATAAATGAATGATCAATTTTAGTTCCCTCCGCCAATTCATGGCTGTTTGTGGGGGACTTTGCTGTGTGGTTACAAATATACATTAAGGTAAATCCTGTGAAGTGCTTTGAGGTGTTTTTGTGACGTGAAAAGTTGCTATATTAAAAGCAAGGGTTACTTTAATAATAGTGTTGTATTGATTGTTCTCTCCGATGTATTTCACTGTATCCATTTCATTCACGTTTTCTTTCCTTCTGCCCATTGGCAGAGTTCTAATGACACATTCCCGACGGCTATGCACATTGCGGCTGCCGTGGAGGTACACAAGGTTCTACTGCCTGGACTACAGACTCTCCACGATGCTCTCGATTCAAAGGCCAAGGAATTTGCTAATATTATTAAGATTGGCCGCACCCACACCCAGGACGCTGTCCCACTTTCACTAGGGCAGGTAAGTAAAATCAAAAACTGCGTATAATACCGTAAATGTCCCATGAGGGCCCACAGCTGAGCCTGTATGACCATTTTATTAATGCTTAACCAATTCTGAATTCAGTTCTTAATCACACTATGTTCTTATGGACGTGGCGTTCACAAAAGTCCAATTGTGCAAAGCTAACCAATCTACGTTCAGCACTGCACTGCACTCGATAACAATAAAAACAATGCATTCTTATATCTTGCATTGCATTTCAACAGCATTACCATCTCTGGCACTACCACCAACACAGCTAAAACCCTCAGACACATACCTCCAGGAATGAATTTTCCAATGCCCTGTTCGCCAGCCTCCCCAACACCACCTTTCACAAATTCCAGACCAAACTTTGCAGCAGCCCTTAATACTCTCCCACACCAGGCCCCATGAGCCCATCGCACCCTCCCCATGACTCCCTGTTTCCGAGCAGGTCAACTTTAACATCCTCATCTTTCAATGTCTCCACAGCCTTGCTCCACCCAGTCTGTGTGACTCTACTTACTCCGCCACTCCTTGTCCACCAACTCCATCCTGCTTCATGCCTCTGCCCCACCATTGGTGGATGAGCCTTCAGCCACGTTGTCCCCTCCCTCTGGAACTCTCCTGAAATCTCTCCACCGTGTTTCTCTGCTTTCAAATCTCACCTGGAGACTGACTGCATTGATTGTACTTTCGGTCACCCAGCAGCTTCTTTCAATTTCAGCCTCCTGCTTCGTCATTATAAGGCTCTTTGAAACGTTCTGACAAGTGAAAGGCACTTTACATGTGTCATTTGCTGTTAATTTAGAAGCCAGTTTTCTATAGTTCTTTTAAAAAGAACAAGCTTACAAATTAAAATTGAATGCAATTTTCTACAATTCTGCACAATCTTATATTTTGTTACTGATAATGAGGGGAGGAACACCTTGAACATTTTAGTAAGCGGGAGTAGAATATATGTCTGCAGTGTAATTGTTCTTTCAGGTTGTGCTCTGTTAAGTTCTGGTGTTAGATTCTTTGTTCCTAAAGTATTGGTTGAAACTGTTTTTTGGTTTTCCTCATGTAGGAATTTAGTGGTTATGTGCAGCAGGTCAAGTATGGTATGGAACGGATTAAGGCTGCAATGCCAAGAATATATGAGCTAGCGGCTGGTGGAACTGCAGTGGGAACTGGATTGAACACAAGGATAGGGTTTGCGGAGAAGGTGGCTGCTAAAGTTTCAAAATTCACAGGTGAGAATGCATAATGTGGCATTAAACATTCAGCTACTAATGTCCAATTAATGGTACCTCGCAAGCTTCATTGTGTGTCAAGTATTCTGAGCCATGCTAGATTCAGAAATCTATTTTGTAACCTTGATTCACAAGATACAAAACAATACACATAGGGGTCATTATAATGGCTTCTTTCAGGGACTAACAATGCACCATGGTGCACCATGTAGACAAGTATTGCTGGGAAGGTGATGGGAAAGGAGGGAGCAGATGGGAAGGAGGAAGGGGGTGAGGAAGCAGTGGGAGGGAATTTACAGGGTTATAACTATCACTGTCCCAAGGTACAGAATTTGCAGTTGGCTTTGTTCAGTTTTGTTTTTTCTACTTAATGACTGGTTAAGCTGAACAACTCCGACTTCTGGATGATGGCTTCTGTTTCAAGCAGTTTTAGCATTGCATCGTCACCTTACTAATAATAATACAACAACTTGCACTTATATAGTGCCCTCCACGCAGGGTAGTGTCTCAGAGCTCTTAATCCTTACTCCTTACATTTGATATAACACTTCTCACATCGGGTTTGGGGTAGGGGTGGTCTCAAACCACTTGACAGGTTATACAGTAATACAATGTTTGGTTTAAAGAGTTTTTTTACATAATTTTCCAAGCCTCCAGAATAGCTTTTTAATTTCGGTATTTTCTTGTTAGAATTATTTTTAGGCCACCGTATAACATGAAAGCCACACTCTCTTCAGCCTCAATTTATGATTCTTCTAAGATTGAAGGGCAGTGACGATTATAAAATCACACATCATAAATTTCTGCTGATTTCTCTTTTCTACTATTCCATTCTGATCTCCTCCCTGATCCCAATGTTATGTACCCAGTGCAAATCCAAACCCAAAATTGATATTGCTTTGGCTAATGGGTGCTTTAATCCATGCTTGGTTAAGTGCTCATTTGCGGGCTAAGACTCGGTTACATTTTGCAGAGAAATCTTATTGTGTTTCTCTGTCTTTGTAGTTAACGCCACACACATTGGGAGTTGCAATTCACATCACAGATAACTCTTAAGTAATTGCATTGATAGGAACGTGGCCATGAAGACAGCAAAAAACAACTTTGCTTTTGTTTTTAAGGTTTACAATTTATAACGGCACCCAATAAGTTTGAAGCACTTGCTGCCCATGACGCTTTGGTGGAACTGAGTGGTGCCATGAATGTGGTTGCCTGCAGTCTGATGAAGATAGCCAATGATATTCGCTTCCTCGGCTCTGGGCCTCGCTCTGGCTTGGGTGAACTCATTCTGCCTGAGAATGAGCCTGGGAGCAGCATTATGCCAGGTAATTAAATGCATTTTCCTACAATTTAGTTTGTGAAAGTGTTGGTCAGAAATTGCTACATGTTGTCAGCATGTCATGCATCACAGAGGCCTCTGGTCTTTTGGAGGGCTGTGCCGTAGATTCCTGCCCCATCTACCACACTATCCTGTGACACGATAGTGTGGGAGGAGATGGTGCAGCCCTCCAATAGACCAGAGGCCTCTGCAATGCATCTGAACATGCACGGCCCACCTCCAACTAGTGGCTAAACCAGTCACAGCGCCTCTTGTGACCCGGGAGGACCTACGCCTAACTAGCCACTCTGGATAACTGATTACTGAGCCCTTTACCCTCGGGGTGACTAATTATCAGGTGTTTACTGTAGCTATTTATGTGTGAGATAAGTTGTTCCCTATATAAAAAAATTAAAATTCCCAAGCTACAGCAGGCTGCTGACTCACGTCTGTGCTCAAAAATTCTTAAGCAGAAGAATATGGTATGAAGAATAGTGGACTCTCTTAGGTCCAGACTTTAGGTCATGATCAAATACAAGGTTCACTGAAGGCCTAAAATATCTTCACCTCCGATCTGCCATCTGAAGTAAATTAAATTTGAAGTGAATTTAGCTTCTAATTTGAATCTATTTCACACTCACCTGCTCACTCTTCATACCCTAGTGCCTCCCTACCTCTCCAACCGCTCACACCCCACTCCTCTACCCTCCCACTTCACTCGGCCGGCTCAAATCTTCTGAACATCCCTCGACCCCTCTGCCCCACCATCAGTAGCCAAGCTTTTGGCCATTACGCCCAAGCTTACCTCCCTCAATCCCTCTGCCTTACCCATCTTTATTCATCTTCGGGTCACACTTTTAAGACTCCTCTTTCTCCCAGGCCAAGTGTCAAATTACGCCATTTTTGTTAAGCATTCTGAGGGGCTAACAACTATGTGAAGGGTGCTATAATAATGCAAGTAGTTGTTGTTGTGAGCCAACCACAGTGACTAGTTAATCTCCTTTATAATAATTTGGTCACTCAATCCCTGACTGTTTGTGGCACACTGCTGTGCGCAATTGGCTGCCGCGTTTCGCCCACAAAATATAGTCAGTTGACTACAGTATATCCTGTGAAGTGCTTTGAGACGTCTCAAAGACTCGATAAGGCGCTATATCAAATGCAAGAATTATCATTATTATTTATTGTTCTAACAATCAGTTAGTTGTTTAGAACCATATCACATTTTTTTCTAATGATAACGTTTTTACAAAGTGCCTTTTCATACAAAATAAATGATCCAAAGCACTTAATTTGGCATCTTTAATGCTCATTACTTCTTCACATGGTTTGGCAGCCAAGAATTCAGGCATGTGATCTGCACTAGGAAAGAACATTTCTCTGCATCTCTTGCTAAGATCTGAATGAGGAACAGTTTGCAATTACTTTCATTCATGACATTTCTTTCCCCAAAAATGCTTAGCCTCTAGTTAGTAGTTCAATGTGTGGAAAATCTTGACTGGGAGTCCATGTCGGTATTGGTATTAGTAAGCAGAAGGTTAATAATCTGTAATGATTTTTCTTAGAAAAGTATATGTCAACGTGACCAATATGTTGATGTTTCCAGAGTGTCCTCTTTGAGCTTTCGTTCATCTTCCCCTTTCCCACCTCTCCTCGGCTCCCACTCCCAACTCATGTGCCAAATCATTATTACTAAGCTCCTTGGGACATCCTCCCAACATGAAAAATGCTGTATAAATGTAAATTTGAAATTTTTGTAGTTACTTTTGTGGACGCAAATCCGAATCACGGTTGTTGGTCATAATTTGTGATTTTGTGTTTCCTGTATTTTGAAAGGTAAAGTGAACCCTACACAGTGTGAAGCTGTTACTATGGTAGCAGCACAGGTCATGGGAAATCACGTTGCCATCACTATTGGCGGAAGTAATGGCCACTTTGAGCTGAACGTTTTCAAGCCCATGATGGTAAGTACTGGGAAACATGACCTTTGGAGTAGGTAAGGGACCACCATTAGGTATGTAACTCCTTTGATAGGTGGTATATATAAAGTAGGTGTATAATCTAATGAAAGCATGCTCATCGATTTTTCTTTAGCTGCATAACTGTTTGATGTATGACCTTTTCTATTCCTGTGTGATATGTAGGGTGTACAGTATGGTGAGATAACGGCAAGGGTGGTTTCTGAAAGCCCGTAGTTAATAGAAGGAAAGGAAGACAAGGGTGTTTCACAGTCTTGCAGGCTTAAGAGTATATAATTCTCGGGAGTGGACTATCCTTACTTTGATGGAACAAATGGGCTTTTATGTTTTCATTTCTAATAGTCCTGCGGCAGCTGGTTGGTCTGAGCACAATGTTCTTATGATCTTGTTCTACATCCAGCCATAGAATAATTTTTTTTGTGAAGTATTATTTTCATCAGCCTTGCTGTCATTGCACTTCCCCAAAAATGAAACAAGACTTGTTGTATGATTATATTTATGTTTACTATAATGCATTTCACCAGAAAACTGGCGACCTTGTCTCAGAACTCTTCGCCACGAATAATTCTTAGTTGGCATTAGTCTACAGACAAATATTAACAGATGCGACAAATAGTACTGTGAGCTAATTCAGGTAATTCTGTGTCCTTTTAATCTGACAGACATGGAAATTGAACAATCTCTTTAAGTCTGGTGTCTGTGATGCAAATCTGTGCCCTGATGCACGCAACCTTGATATGGATTTCTTTATTCAGCCGTGCGTAGGAAATCCGATGTGAGAATGTCAGGACACAATCTCCCCAGTTTGGCTGTTCTTGAGATATTTGGCATGAAAGTAACCTCTTCTGGTGCAGAAGAAGGAGCTAGCCTGAGTTTAGAGGTTCAACTGCACTTAGAGTCCATCGCTCTTTTTTTATTTGCGGAGGGGGTTTAATTCACAACATTCAGATTTATGTGAATTTAGCATTGTTAGGAGCTGTCATAGAAATAGGATTTTCTGCTTAACCTCATACGTATTATGAAAGCGTAACCTAATTTTGCAATCAATCAAGAAGATACAATGTCTCCATTTTCATTTACAGATTAAAAATGTGCTGAACTCAGCACAGTTGATCGGAGATGCCTGTGTCTCCTTCACAGAGAATTGCGTGGTTGGAATCGAAGCCAACACAGAACGAATCAAAAAGCTAATGAATGAATCGCTAATGCTGGTGACCGCACTCAACCCGCATATTGGTAAGAGTCTAGACAGTATGTGGCACGTTGTTATTTCTGCTGTATTTTGGAATTAGGAAGGAATTGGCTACCACTTTGGAAATATAAAATTAGCTGACTCTGGAGTTATCATTCATGTAATTGATTATGCAGCATTGTAAAATCTTCATTATCCCCCACTTAGTCTGATGGTAGTTGCTTCCTCTAGTATCTCCGCATAGAGAATCTGCCCAATGCTATTTTATATTTTTACGAGTTGGGATTAATAGCCCAGGATTGAGTTGTCTGCCAACAATGAGGAAGATAGCTGATGCATTAGCTTGTATTGTGTAGGATTGGATAATAATAATCCTTGCATTTGATAGACTATTATTGTTTTATAATAAAATAATAATAGTCATTGCATTTGATAGGCAATTTATCACTTTGTTGAGACATATCAAAGCGTGATGTATAAGCATGATGACTGTGTATTTGTAGGTTATGGATGATATGGCATTTCAATAATCATCATAATCCTTGCATTTGATATAGTGCCTTATCACGTCTTCAAGGCGTCTCAAAGTGCTTCACAGAATATACTGTAAAGTGGAGTTCTGTAGCTCAGTGGTTAGAGCACTCGCCTTGCATGTGAGACACCTGGGTTCAATTCCAGGCAGGGTGAAACCTTGGGCAAGTTTCCTTACTCCACACGCCTGATAATATTCCCTCCAAAAAACAAAACAATAATAAATTGGTCATTTTCAATCCACGACTGTTTGTGGGACACTGCTGTGCGCAATTGGCTGCCGCGTTTTGCCCAGAAATATACAATCAATTCACTTTACAGCATATTCTGTGAAGCGCTTTGAGACGTCTAGAAAACGTGAAAAGCACTATATCAAATGCAAGGATTATTATTATATAAAGTTAATTGACTGTATATTTTGTGGGCGAAGCAGCCAGCTAATTGCACACAGCAGTGTCCTACAATCAGTTGATCAGAAGAAGTCAGTTTCTGTGTGTCTGCCTGGCACAGTGGTAGCACTCTCGCCTCTTAAGTGAGAAGATTGTGGGTTCAAGCCCTTCCCGGGACTTGGGATTACATCTTCTAAATTGACACTCCAATGCAAAGCTGGGGTGGGGTTTGGGGATTGTATTGTTCAAAAGAGATGTTAAACCACCTCAGATGGTGTTTGTTGTGGTTGACGTTAAAGATTCCATAGCACGCTTCGAAGAAAGAAGGGAGTTTCTCCCGGTGTCCTGGCCAACAAATCCCCAAATAAAATTGGTCATGGCTGTTTATTGGACAGTGCTGTGTACAAACTGGCTGCCGCTCTTTTCCCACAAAATATTGTACATTTACAAAATATGCTGTGACGGGGTTCGAGAAGTCTCAACGATATAAGGAGCTATGTCAAATGCAAGGATTACTATTATCCCCCAGTCTCCTTGCCAACAATCCCTCATATACGTTTGGCTGCCACATTCAGCTTCAGGTACACAGACAGTAAAATAGTAAAATCCTGTGAAGTGCTTTCAGACGTATCAACGACATGGTAAGACGCTGCATTAAATTCAAAGATTATTATTATTATAGCAGGCAGACAGCATCATGAGCATCAAAAGCTTCTTAAAGTTAAGCTGATCTGGTGATTTTCACCATTGATGGGCTGAGCTTATTGCTGTAATATATGGGGGTGGAAATAGTGATCATTGCATTTGATATACTTTCACGTTGGGGATGTTTCAAAGCACTTCACAGGATTTACTGTTAAGTGTAGTGATCATATATATTGTAGGTGAACACAAATAATCTCTGATATAATAGTGCATTGCAGGCATGTAGCATAATGGTAGAATTTTGAACTAAAATATGCAATCAAGGTGGAAGAATACTGCTGCAGAATTGTTTTCCATATCTAAACTCTGAACTTGTAACCTTAAATCTCCAGAGTAACAATGTTGTGTGGCATGATTCCTTAAATCAAATGGGTCAAACCACATGAAAATGCTGGACACCAAGCAAATTTTCAGTCAGCCCAAGTGTGCAATAAATGTTTGATAAAAGTGTCAGTCATCCTTGTTAACAGGCTTTTTTTTAAAAAAAGCAAAATTTAAAAAAAAAAATTCTGTGATGGGAGAAATTCTGTACAAAGGTTAAATGGTGTGTCAGATACTGGTGTGTACTTCTGATTAATAATGGCACTGTGACCTGTTCTTGGGCTGACAGCTGAGTATGAAATGCAGTTATGCAAATTGTTGTGCAGAGCAACTTGAAACACAGTGAAATTAATGGCAGCGGATTTGCTTGATTGTAACAGATCAGTAAGGATTGATGATAATTACTTCTCATTTTCTTTTATAAACAGGCTATGATAAATCAGCAAAGATAGCCAAGACCGCCCACAAGGATGGAACAACATTAAAAGAAGCAGCAATGAAGCTGGGGTTCCTAAATCCGGAGCAGTTTGACGAATGGGTCAAACCACAAGAAATGCTGGGTCCCAAGTAACTTTTCCCATTTGACCCAAATACCATCCGACAAGCAATAAACATTTGAAATGACTAACTGTCTGGAGTCCTTGTTCATGCATTCTAATTTTTACTATTCAGAATGTGTTCCTACTATGATTACAGTCTCCAAAGTATTAGTTTTCCTATGGAGAGTCTTTTATTGTCTTGCCACTGATCTGACTTGTGTGGCCAAGTGAAAAAGATACGCCTGAAGCTGAGGGCATTGCTCCATGCCGAAGATGGACAATTGCTGAACTCTTTCCTCCCCCTCCCCTGACAACTATTGTTTTTAATAATAAATGAGCTGAGAACTTATTGCACAACAACAAAAACTTGCATTTCTATAGTGCCCTTCACGCAGGCCAATGTCTCTGGGCACTTTAATCTGCTATTAATCTTCTATCAACAATTTGTTTCAGGCAGTCAGACTGAGAAAGATTGTAATGTATTGTGGATTTTAATAATAAACAAGAAATATTTCTGGGGACTATAGGAATAGCAAATGAGATTTTCTTAAAACCAGAACAACAACAACAACAAGATTCCATTTATAGAGCGCCTTTCATGTTGGGAGAACGTCCCAAGGCGCTGTACAGTTGGGTCAGGACCCGAGCATTGGGGGGAAATGGTCAGGGGGAGGGAAGGGAGGGAGCGAGGAGGGGGTAGAGAGTCGAGGGGAGCTGAAGGCACAGTCAAAGAGAAAGGTCTTGAGACCGGCCTTGAAGGAGGAAAGGGAGGAGGCGGCGAAGGCACTGGGGGATAGAGTTCCAGAGCCTCGGGGCTGAGAGGCTGAAGGCCCGGCCACCGATGGTAGGGCGGTTGGGGCGGGGGATGTGGAGCAGACCGGAGCCAGAGGAACGGAGGGTACGGGCAGGTAAGTAGGGGGATAGTAGGTCGGAGAGGTAGGAGGGAGCAAAGCCGTGAATGGCCTTGTAGGTGAGGATGAGGATCTTGAATTCGATCCTCTGGGGATGGGGAGCCAGTGGAGGCGAGCGAGGGTGGGAGTGATGTGGTCCCGAAGCCTGGTGCGGGACAGTACACGAGCTGCAGAGTTCTGAATGACCTGCAGCTTGTGGAGGGAGGTGGCGGGAAGGCCGGCGAGGAGAGAGTTCCCATAGTCCAGCCTTGAGGTGATAAAGGCGTGGACCAGGGTTTCAGCAGCGTGAGGGGTGAGGTAATGCCATAGTCTGGCGACATTCCGGAGGTGATGGAAGGCGGTGCCAGTTGTGGTGCGGATGTGAGGGAGAAAGGACAGCTCAGGGTCGAACAGAACACCGAGGTTCCTGACGGCTTTGAGAGGTGGAGAGCACAGCCTTGGAGGCATGTCAATACCTAGTCAGCTGGAAAGGAAAGGATAGTTTCAGCTGAAGACTTGAATTGTATTTTGGTAGAGAAAGAGGGACATGGAAAGCCTACTGGGTGAATGGGGGGATTCTGTCACCCCATGAGTAAAGTAGATTTACTCAATTTTCTTTGCGTTATGGAGCGCTTTCCTGATGCCTTAATTCTCATGAAAGATTTAAGGCGAAGTTAAAATCCTTTCATCACTGATGTATTTGTTTTCATCTGCAGCTCTGAAAATGAGAAAATAATAGGTTTGAAAAGCACTTAACAGATTTTTTTTATTTCTTGTTTTGATACAGGTTTGTAAATTAACAAAGTGGCCAAATATGTACCTCACTATTAATCTTCTAAAGCATAAAAGTGACTAACAGAAGGAATTGCAGTTGCTGCCTGTGCCTTTTAGAAGTCTTTTTGATGGTGGACAGTTCATTAAACATATATTCTGAAGTTAGTTATTCTTAAACCGTTTGTATGTGGGTGATGGTCTCCAGCAGTGTGACCACACTGTTTCTTGGTCAGCCGGGTGATTGACACATATGGAAATCCATCATGATGCTTAAGAGTATCCAAAGCAGAATTTTATTGCATCTAAACCATTTATATGGAAATTCTCAACATATTTATTGAATGGAATCCACATTCCCTGGAGGGACATATCCTGGTTACCTAATTCCGGAGAGTATTAGGTGCTGGTTGGCAAGAGCCGAAGTTTGTGTGTGTGTGTGTTGGGTTACTGCTGGAGTCTAAAACAAGAAGATTACATTTGTACAGCTCCTTTCACGTTGGGAGGACGTCCCAAGGCGCTGGAGGGACAAGAGTGCAGCATTTCAAACCTGAGCTGGGGTCAGGGGTGAAGAAGAGAGGGGAGGGGAAGGGGGTGGCCGATGCATGGCCGAAGAGGAGGGTCTTGAGGCAGGAATTGAAGGCGGCTAAGTCGTGGCGAGGCGGAGTGATTGGGGGATGAAATTCCAGAGATTGGGGGCAGAGTGGCTGAAGGCTCTCCCGCCAATGGTGGGGCGGGTGGGTCGGGGGACGTGGAGCAGGCCAGAGCCGGCTGAGCGGAGGGAACGGGCGGGTTGGTAGGGAGTTAGGAGGTCGCAGAGATAGGGTGGGGTGAGGCCATGGAGGGCTTTGTAGGTGAGAACCAGGATCTTGAACTGGATCCTCTGAAGGATAGGGAGCCAGTGGAGTCGGGTGAGAATCGGGGAGATGGGGTCACAGAGTTTGGTGCGGGAGAGGACTGAGGCTGCAGATTTCTGGATTATCTGCAGCCTGTGGAGGGAGGAGTTGGGAAGGCCGACAAGCAGGGCATTTGCGTAGTCGAGCCTGGAGGTGATGAAGGCATGAACAAGAGTTTAAGCGGACTGAGGGCTGAGGTAGTGGCGGAGTCGGGCGATGTTACGGAGGTGAGGGAAGGCAGAGCGGGTCATGGCTTGGATGTGAGGAAGAAAAGACAGTTGAGGGTTGAACAAGACACCTCGGTTCCTGACTGGCTTAGTGAGTTGAAGTGTGCAACCATGGAGGTTGATGCTGCCAGAGCTTGAGGTGCAGAGGCTCTGGCGCGAGCCAATTAGGAGGATCACATAGCTTGCCAATTTTCCCTACCAACCTGCCCGCTCCCTCCGTTCATCAGGCTTTCATCAGGCCTGCTCTGTGCCTCCTGCCCAACCCGCCCTACCATCGGTGTCCGGGCTTTCAGCCTCTCTGCCCACACTCTGGAACTCCATCTCATGGTCCCTTCACCTCGCTTCCTCCCTTGCCTCCTTCAAGGCCGGTCTCAAGATCCTTCTCTTCGACCGTGCCGTTGATAGCCCTCCCACCTTTCTGCCTTCCCTCACCCCTACACCACCCTTCCCCCATGCTCGGGCCCTGACATCTGACTGTTCAGCACTTTGGGACGTCCTCCCGACGTGAAAGGCGTTCCATAAATGTAATTTTATTGTTGTTGTAAAGCCATATAGCTTTCCATTTGGAGTCTTGTAGCTCAGTGGTTAGAGCGCTCGCCTCGCAAGCGTGAGACCTGGGTTCGATTTCCGGCAGGGCGAAATGTTGGGCAAGTTTCCTTACTCCACACCCTCTGTTTACCTAGCAGTAAGTAGGAATCTGGTTGTTAGTCAATTGGCGGGTTGCTTTTTCGAGGGAAATAATTCCTTCAAAAAAAGTAATAAATTGGTCACGTCAATCCATGACTGATCAACTGCTGCCACGCTTTGCTCACAAAATATACAGTCAATTTATTTTACAGTATATTCCGTGAAACGCTTTGAGGTATCTCGAAGATGTGATAAGGTGCTGCATCAAATGCAAAGTTATTATTATTTAAAGCACGGCTTGCTAAGCTTTCCTGCTGCCTGTTCAGCTGTGACCACTTACCTGTTGGGGCTCTGATTTGCAGAAGCTGTTTGGAAAGAGTCCCTGCCCCAAGTGGAACCACTTTATCTTCAAGGTGACCCTGCTTATTGCCTCCCACCACCCTTTCCCACCAGAAAGGATTGTCACAAAGACATATTACGATGCTGTCCGGCGTGGAGGGCGCTATATAAATCCAAGTTGTTGGTGTTGTATTGGTCATTTTTGAGTTCAGTGTAAACTAAAAGTCCTGTAGCTCAGTGGTTAGAGCACTCGCTTTGCAAGTGAGAGACCTGAGTTCAATTCCAGACAGAGGATGAAACCTTGGGCAAGTTTCCTTACTCCACACGCCTAATAATAAACCCTCCAAAACCAAAAACAATAATAAATTGGTCATTTTCAATCTACGACTGTTTGTGGGACATTGCTGTGCGCAATTGGCTGCCGCGTTCGCCCACAAATATACAGTCAATTCACTTTACAGTGTGTTCTGTGAAGCGCTTTGAGACGTCCTCCCGACGTGAAAAGCGCTATATCAAATGCAAGAATTATTATTATTATTATTAAAACACTTACTGGTCTGCATTAGAGATTCATAAAACAAGAGTTTTATGTTGGGAACGTGGTATATTCATTGAAAGGCGTTGGGATTATTGACCATCCTTGATGGGAATGTTAAATTTACTTGATAGGAATATTACAGTACTTAAAGCATGAGGAGCATATTCTGTTCAGAATTGGGAAGTAGGGCAGATGGTAGTGGAAATATTAATGCTTGGTGTATGCAAATGATGACATGACCAGGACTTAATTGGCAATCTGTTGAAAAGCATAGCATTTACAAATAAGCTGGTTTATTTTCTTTGCGAAACATTTTTTCCCAAATGTTCCATGCACCTTCCCCAGACAAGAGAACAGTCAACACCACACTAGCTGGTAATGAGAGCAGTCAGAAAAAATGGGTCGAAAATCTGAGTTATAGTGTATCACTCCCTAGTGATCATGCAGAGAAGAACCGAAACTCACCACCGAGAGAAATAGTCCATGACCCACACTTCCTTCCACTCCATGGCATGTTGTGTTCGCATGCTAACATTGCACTGTTCTGATTCAGTTGTATACTTTAAAACCACATGCTTTAGGCTAGACCTTGTTTGGCATATTATTAGCCATTTGGGCACAGCAAGATTCCACAAAACGACCATGAAGTATTTTATTATTAAAATGATCATGAAGTAGATGAGTAATTTATCCAGAAGATTGTTAGCTAGGACATTAGGAGAAATTCATTTCTCTATTCAGCATAATAGTATACTGGGCTCTTTAACATTCAACAACAAAAGTAACTTGTATATATAT